TATATCATTCTAGACAGAAATAAATGGCCTTTTTGGAAAGTGAACCATGGATGGGGAAATGTTGGCAGTTTTCTAAAAAAAATGCTTGAATTCAAGAAGTTTTAGATTTGCGTGGTTTTTTTTTGAGTTGCAAAATCCACTTGAACATAACGCTGCTTTTTTCAAAGTTTCTCAAAATGAGCAAGAACGCTCATTTGTACGTCATTCTAGAGAGAAATAAATGGCCGTTTTAGAAAGTGAACCATCGATAAGGAAATCTTTTTAGAAAGTGAACCATAAATGGGCAATTGTTGGCAGTTTGCTCAAAAAATGCTTGAATTCAAGAAGTTTTACGTAAAAAAACGCAATTGAAAAAAATTCTAGACACTTTTTAAATGAATTCAAACATTACTTCTGGGACTCACTGTATATTTAGTCCTCAGCCGTTTTAATTGGCGTCCTAATTAATAAGCTTACTTGATTATTTTCTGTTTCCAATCGCTTGGCATTTGTTTGAAAATTAAACTCCAGCGTACTGATGCAAATAAAATGTTGTTGGGCAACACGATCATTTAGACTTATTGTCCATCCATCTTCAGCGTAATTTATCAAATGAAGGTAACCATTAATCGCAAGTCGGCCAGTTTATTGATGAATACTTAGTGGTCGTTTGTCATGTTTCGATTGCCAAATGTTTAAGTATAGAGTCAGGCTGACTGTTAGTTAGTTACTTGCGGACCAGAATCAATTTTTAATGTAAACTCAGTTCAGACCCAAATCGATAGTAAAGTGGTTTTGGGCGAGATTTAGAACTGCGATCCAGAGCCAAAATGGCCCAGGGAAATAAAATCTGGACGAATAAACCGCAATTCGACGACGCGAACTTGTTTTATTGATTCCCAGACAAAGGACATCGAAAAACGAGCATTTTTCTCGAGATTCTCGCATTTTTACCAAATATTTGGCCGATTTCTGTTGTTTGATTCGCAATACTTTACAAGTGCGGAAAAATGTTTCTTTACCTGCTCTCACAATTCTTTGAGCAAAAGCTTGAAAAAATGCCCACTTAAAACCTGCAAATTACACGGCAGCAAAGTCGGTACTTAAAGGCCTTGTTTGGCCAGACGAAGCAAAAGCATCCCTAATCCTGATCGCAAAGAGTCCGAAAGAATATGCAGGATAAAGGCCCGAGTATCGATTCGTTTGGAAATGGGCCAGCAAATTTCCATACCGGATTCATATATAAACACGTAACACAGATGGATAGAGCGACGATATTTTTGTGTTTATTGTATCCTGGGCGGTTATGCGCGTTGTCAGACCGAAACCTAAACCGTCAGCTCTTTATGTTTTAGACTCTATCTTACGATTGGTTACAGATATTGATCTGATGACTGTTTATTCGTAATCCATGGCAAATTTTAGTTGGGATTTGTACGTTCGTCTTGAGTCTGGCTCTATGGGGCGAATAGAGGGCGCAATTGGGAGCAAAAAGCGCTCATTGAGCAGTGTAGGTTTTTTTAATGTTTGCTTACTTTAAAAAGTTACCATTTTCAACCGTTTTCCAGTTTTGCCCCTTTTTTAACGGTTCGGAAGAACGATTGATAAAACTCCATTTTGCTCTCTGTTCCATCTCGATATACTTAAGTAAAGCAATCATCGTCGCTTCGCGTGCTCGACCGCTCAAAAATCGTTTAAAATAAACTGCATTTTTCAGTTATTTTGTCTCAGATCAGATGATTTTAGCGTGTATTTTCAACAAGCTCGATACATTTCTCTGGTGCTAAACTGAAGAAATTTGAGCGATTTAGGTGTTATGCGCAATTTTCAATCATTTTGGCTCAGAAGGTTTTCGCTCTATGCATTAGTCGCTTTCTTGCGCCAAACAATACAAAATTTGAACCTTTTTTTTGGTTTGAATCGTAAGCAGGTAGATGTCGAGTTTCACCGCGCAAAATGACCAGCAATTTTCGGAATCTTTCAGGCTCAATTTTGACCGCTCAAAACAAGGCGCAATTTTCGGTTTGTTCGACTCAGAAGGTTTCAACCTGTTTGTCAATGAACTTGTCGCACTCCTGGTTTTTTTGCGTTAAAAATCGTATTGAATATGGAGCAATTTGATCGAAACCGTAAAAGATCGTAAACAGATAAAAAGCCGCTCGATTTTGACGGGCTAAATAACGCTTCAAATGATCCGCAGTTTTAGGGTATTCCGCCTCAGAAGGTTCAAGCGTGTTTTTTATGAGCTCGCTGCATTCGTAGCTTTCTTGTGATAAAAATGGTACTAACTTTGAGGCCAATTTAAAATATTCGGTTTTTTCCGAAACGGTACTTTTGACCGCTCAAAATGAGCCGCGATATTCGATTATTTTGACTCAGAAGGTTTCAGTCTGTTTTTCATTGAACTCGTTGCATTATTGGTTTCTTTGGGATAAAAATCGAATTGAATTTCAAGAAATTTAAGCGATTTTGAGTATATTTTGTCCAAAGAAAGAAAAACAGTTAAAATGCCGCACGGTTTTGACCGCGCAAAAAATAACCGGCAGTTTCGGGGTTTTCTGCCTTAGAAGGTTTTAGCATGTTTTTACACTTTTCCTACGAGTTTTTACTACTTTCTCTTGATAAATATGGGGATAAATTTGTTGCAATTTGAGCAATTTTAGGTTTTTTTTAACAGTAAACAAGTAGGTACAGAACCGTTTGAGTTTGACCGCTCAAAATAAGCCAGCATTTTCGGATATTTTGATTCAGAAGGTTTCAGGCTGATTTTTAGTGTTTTTGTCCAAAGAAAATAAAACAGTTAAAATGTAGCACGGTTTTGACCGCGCAAAAACCGACCCGCAGTTTTGAGTTTTTACTACTTTTTCTGAACCCTTTATTTGCCATTAAAATCGATTTTCTCAAATACCGCGCAAAATTACCCGCAATTTTGGCTATTTTGCCTCAGAAGGTTTTAACGTATTTTTTATGAGCTTGCTGAATTTTGTCGCTTTCGTAAAGAAAATCGTAAACTTTCGGTTATTTTGACTCAGAAGGTTTTGGCCTGTTTTTGCAATAAACTCTTCACATTTCTGGGATCTTTGCGAAAAAATCGTATTGAATTTGAAGTCAAGTCACTTGAAATGGCTTGTACAACTGGGATGTTTTGAAAAACCCATATTTGCTTCGTTTTGAGACGCTCCGAACCAAATAATCCTAATATGACTGATTAGCGACTTTTCCAGTTTTTCATGTGGAGTGGAAAGCAAGATTTCCTCATTATTGGGGGCTCCTTAAAGGGCAACGAAATGTTCCCATTTCAAGTGCCGCCTAGAGTCGCAACTAGAGCAGAACCTAATGGTCGAGCCAAACTTCAGCTCAATAACTTAAAAAATCGGCAGACCCGCAAAGAGGCGAAGCAGCAAAAAATGGAACTTTCCATCGATAGCAGTTTAGAGCCTTTCAATTATTACGTAATAAATTAGAAGTAAACTATTTAGAACGGCGCTGATCGATAAGCTGGCATATCTGTAATTACTCATATTATTGAAGTCGGTTCGTTTCTGACCACGTCATATACCAATTATCAATCGATCTTAAGAGAAACGGTAGCTGAATAGAGCAGAGTTGTGAAAATGCATTTGTGACATCAGATTTCTGTTCCACAACTTCTTAAGCTCTCAGGTTCTAAACCAGATCGACTACGATCATTTGATTATGAGCTAAAGTTGAATAGATCTATAGAAATATTGAGACAAAGTTTGGTAGAGTCAACGTCGCAGTTTTTCATTGCAACAAAAAATGGGTTTATAGTTTCCATGACCACGGACTAACGCTCTATAAATAATTGATGGCTTCTCTATTCGGAAACCTACAGTTCGGCTCTATCGTCACAGACTTGTTGCCTATTCACTTTGAGGAAGCATTTAGAGCGGAGCGCGTCGTGTATTTTAGTAAGCAATTGAGAGCGTCCAAGTGTCGGCTCGGCTGTAAATGTTTTAGTTTGAAGGTACATTTGCTTCTTAACACAATAATGACGATTTTTCTGATCAGTTTTCGTTTTTTTCCCAGATAATGTCGGCACTAAGTGGACATATTGGGCGCAGTGCAACGATCCTGCAGAACCTGAAAGGGCACACGAGCGACGTTAATTGTTGCGATTTTGCGCCTAATTTTACACTGGTTACCGGATCAAGGTAAATTTCTCCATCAATTTGAGCGCCTACTTAGGAAATTATTTACTCAACCCCTTTTTAATATTGTGGCCTGGCAACTGTCCAGACTTGGGTCTTGCAGACTTTTATATCGGGAGGAGCCAATAAAGGTTTTAAGGGCAGTTGCTCCAAAGGGCGCTCAATAGCACTAAACTATACAAAAAACTTTTTTCAAAAAGGGTTCTTTTGAGCATACATTGAAGTTGCTGTTTTATTAGTGACAAAACCGTGAGAGTGTGGGACTGGATCAGCGGCTCTGGATATGTGGAACGTCCGCAATCTCCGCTGAGAGTCCACAAGTACCAAGTGACTTGTGTGCGGATTTCGCCTCATGGTTCCATGATGGCGTCATCATCAGTCGATGGTACCGCTTTGCTTTGGAACCTGCATTCCCTCACAAAACTGCATACGATGACTCAGGTCAATGGCGATGCCATCAGAGTGTGTAGGTTAGTGTTAAAGAAACATCTATACAGGGGCGGATCCAGCTTTAAATTCAGGGGGGGTTATGTAGAAAAAATACAGTCTTCTGTTGTCTATGAAATTAGAAAAATTATCGTCGTTTTG